CCAATTGTGCATTAGGCAAATTCGATTAATCGTGCGCTCTTTTCCCTGATGCCCTCCGACATCTTCGTAGGACTTCGATGAGTCTCTTGTTATGATCTTGTAGGCTGGCTCCGTAGATTACGATGTCATCCAAATATACTAGGCATTTTATTCCTTGTATGCCTATCAGTATTGAGTTCATTAGCCTTTGAAATGTGGCTGGCGCATTTTTTAATCCGAAGGGCATTCTATTGTATTCGTAATGCCCGTGAGGTGTGGAAAAAGAAGTCTTGCATTTGCCGCCTTCTTCCATCGGAATTTGGTGGTATCCGGATACTAAATCCAGAGTTGTAAAGTACTTGGCATTTCCAAGTTGATCTAATGTATCCGTTATATTCGGTAAGGGAAATGTATCTCCTATAGTTAGATCATTTAATTTTCTAAAATCTACGACTACCCGTAATTTCGGTTTTCCTGACGCATCGGCTTTCTTAGGGACTACCAATAACGGTGCGTTCCATTGGCTCATGCTTGGTCGGATTATTTTATTTTTTAACATTTCTCGGACTTGTCGATTTACTTCTTCTTTATGCTTCTCCGGCAGGCGGTAAGGCCGTACGTTGACCGGTGAGCTATCTGCTTGCGTTGCAATCTTATGCGCGATTGTGTTGGTGCAAGTCAGTGGTTCTCCTTCGATGTGGAATATGTCGCTGTATTTTTCGCATATCTCTTTTATTGCTTTTAATTCTTCCTTATTTAAATGGTCGATTCGAAGGGCTCGTGTTACCTTTTCGGTACGCGGGATGTCATCTTCTCCTTTTTTCGCTTGTGTGGCGTTTATTTCCACCGTGTTTTCTTGTGCGATTTCTTCAATTGTTACTTGCGACATTAACATTTCGATTATGTTATCCGTTGTGTATATTTCACTTGCGGAACATAGATAATTTTGTGGGTCGACGAAGCAGCTTCCTATAAATACTCCTGGTGCGGCTTCTTCTGCCTGAATGATACCTATCATATTTTTATTCGTAGCTACTTGTATTATTTTGTTTCACTACGGGGTTGCAATGTGGTTCTCTGATACGTATATAATTTCAAAGTATTCCGTCCGATTCTCATTTGTTTCTTCGAGTAATTGCAACTGGCTCCTTGTTTCTTCAGGAAGTCTACTCCTAATATTCCGTCGTATTCGATCGGAAAATCATCTTTTACGACATACATTTTATGTTTCACTCTACCGTCGTTTAAATTTATTGTGACGTTGATTCTTCCTATCGTATATACTTTATATCCTGTTACTCCCGTAAAGCCTATCGCACACAAATTGACATAGCTGCATATGCATAGCATAAGACCGTCTGGACCAATGAACATCGAACATAAAATCGCTATATTGATTTACATAGCATATCATAAGTATTAACATAAACATGTGCATAGAAATGAAAAAATCCATAAGAACGAAATTTCTATGCATATGGTTTATGCACAACCAATCATATGCCAGACGCGAGTTTCCGCCAAGATAACAAACTAGTTCCATCGTATTGTACGTATTCATTCACTATCCAAGTGTCCAGTATATCAAGACTGCATTTAATAAATAAATTAGTGACGCTAAAATGGAAGATCATAATAATTATTTTATTAAAAAAAGAAAAAATGAAGAAGATGAAGATGAAAGCAGAATGCTTAATGCAATGACTGCGAGAGAGGAAGATTCTTTATTCTGGTACTTTGTGGCTCTATATTTCTGCAATGTCTTTGTAATGTTGCATTGCAATTTGCAACATTGCAATGTTGCTGCAATATAATCGCAATGATCTGTGCTGTATGGGATAGATCTGGTTAAAGGTTATCCGCATCTTTATGATAAAGAATCAAAAGATTTTAAAGATATTATAAAAAAAATAACTCATGGAAAGAAATAGGAGAAATCTTAAACGCAACAGGTATAGAATACATTTTTCTTTTATATCAGTATTGCGTGCAGTCATATAATTTCTTTCGTGTCTTATTCTAATAATTACAATATATTTCTTATGTGTATATATTTAATATAATAGATTTATTTATATTTTCTGTATCTTTTAGCTTCAGATTGTCAAACGAGATGGGCAAGACTACGTGAGCGATACTCTCGTGAGAAGAAATTACGAGAAATAGAAACAAGAAGTGGAAGTGGAAGTACAATGAGGCAATCATTTCCTTTATACGAACAAATGAATTTTTTGTTCAAATTTGTCAAGAGTAGGAAGTAAGTTTCTTTTATCGAACTCTTATATAGTTATATTAATATATTTGTAAAACGTTTATGTAATCCTATGTTTGAATGACTTAAATGATTTTATTCAGATCTATAACTAATATATCGCACTTGACTTCCAAACAAATACATCCAATCAAGACGAGTGAGTCAACAGAAAAGTTATTAGATGTACAAATCAATAAATGCCCAATTTTTGATAAAAAACGGCGGAAACTTATTTGTACACCTAATAGGTAAGTTTATATTTAGTAGACAACTAATAATATTTGTTTAGAAAATATTGTGTGGGTTATTATTTTAAATATAATTTTAATTGCAGGATCCTCAAATATATCAAGGAATCAGATTCGATCAAGTAACGAAAATGGTGATATAATCAATAAATCACCTAAACCAGTGTTAAAGACTGTGAATGCATCAGCAACAGTAGCTTCCACTAGTTCATCGATACCTTCTGCATTACACTCCCATTCTCATTCAGTTCTGACATCTTGCTCACATAATAGTGATACTTATTCCCAGATAAATATGTGGAACCAACGCAGACCATCTTCTATTAATCCTGTACCTGCAGATATTATAACAAGTATAAAATTTTCAGAATTATGCAAACCTTTATATATCAATACTGAAGATGAATTAATATTAACACATTCTTCCTCCTCATTTTCTTCTTCGGAATCATTTGATAGCAATGATGATTTTCCTTCACCACATAGCCCAGATGCATTTAGTAACAATGAAATATTCTCTCCATTATAGAATGTTCAGAAACATTAAAAAACAAAACAGTTTCTCCAGCAGCACATTCAAAAGCTTCACCTAATGAAATAATTTCATCACAACTTGATCGAGAATCAGTATCTCCAGCATTGTCTTTTGACTCTTCGTCAGGCATATCATCTGATCCACCAAAAAGATTTACCAAAAAAATTAAACGCACACCCTTAACAGATAATAAAATGGAAGAATCTTTTTTAAGATTAACGTCAGTGGTTTCATCGCATTTAGAAAACAAAACTGAGAATAAAATATCCCCTAATATAACTGAAATAGATGAAGATGAAATTTTTGCTAAAGCAATTGCATGCCAATTAAGAAAAATCTCGGAACCTCAAAAAACTCAATTAAAGGGCCAGATTATGAAAATATTGTATAATCTATGATATAAAAGGTTTTATTATATAGTTATAAAAAATACATATGCATAAAATATTTTATTGTATGTTTATATAATATATAAAATAAAGTTTATAAAAATTTATAAAGTTATTTTTATGATATATCTCTGTTACATCCCCTATGAATATATTCTATTTGCCATGATACTTCACCTTGTGGTGATGACAAATATTCAGATAAAATATCTCTTTGAATATATGCTTCTCTTATCGCTCTATGTATATTAGTACGTCGCAAATTATTTACATTATTTAGATTAAACCTCCATGCACCTTGTGTAATCTGTCCTGTGTTGTCTTCACTATCGACATAATTTTGAGGACAGTAAGTATTTTCGCCTATTACACTATTATTTTCTGTCATTAAAAAATTGTGCAAATTTATTGCAGCCATGATTATCTTATCTGTATGCTCTGGGTTCAAACATATACAACGTTGAAAAATTCTCCATCTTGAGACCAGAATTCCAAATGTATTCTCAATAATACGTCTAGCTCTTGATAAACGATAGTTAAAAATAGATTTTTTTTCATTCAAAAACTGTCCAGGATAAGGTCGCATTATTCGTTTCGATAATGGAAACGCCTCATCAGCAACAAAATAATAAGGCATTTCTATATCTGATAGAGGTAACTTACAATCATTTACAGGTATATTAAGATCATTACTGTTTAAGCACTTTCCGAATTCAGATTGTGCAAATATACCGCCATCACTTGCGCTACCACATGCACCACAATCTACTATAGTAAAACTATACTGACAATCGCACGCAGCTAATAAAACAATACTAAAACTTTTTTTATAATTAAAGTACAAACTACCGGAATTTGGAGGTGCTTTAATAACAAAATGTTTCCCGTTGATCGCTCCAATACAATTGGGAAAATTCCAATGATTCCAAAATCCAGCAGCTATTTTCTTCCAATCTTCTTCTTTAGGTGGCTTTAAATACATGGGACTTAAAATTTTCACTTTCATATTGTCACTGTGCATGTTTCTTTAATAATTTTATAAACAGTTGATTCACCTATTCGATGTGAAAATGCAATCGAGGATACTTGATCTCCTGTTGCAAGAAATCTAAAATAAAGCAAAAGCATTAACAAATACAAAAAAAAGCAAATACAAAAAGCAAATACAAAAGCATTTACAAATACCTGAGCATAATAATAAGCCGTTGTTCTGCCGGTAATGCTCTCCAATTTCTTTTTTCTAGATGAGGTCGCAATATATTTAATAATTTATAAAAAATAGAGATATTCATTCTCGTGTATTTAAAAAACATTGTCGCATCTTCTTTTAATTCTTGAAAAAGATGTTGGAAGTCACCAAATAGTGGTCGAAGCATATATATTGGTCGTACCCAGCACAATCGTTTTTTATTTTGTTTACGTTTTCGCAAAAGTATATAACTCGCTGATATTATTGCAGTATAAATGTAATCATATGTATCCATTTTAACACATGTTAGTAATGTTTATGGTTAGGAGTATATTCTTATGACAGCTATTATTCCTCAATCCTGATTGGCTAAAATTTATGTTTATGCATATTTGTGTACGTTGAATATCTTTCTTATGCTTATGCTCTGTTATGTCTATGTTCTATGTATTTTGTGTGCGATAGCCTTAAGCGCTATTTTATCTTCTGTTATTAGCGTTCGTCTTTTAAATGCTTTACTTTAATTAGTGATATAGCGGCTCCCGTGTCGAACAATAAATTTATTTTTCTTTTTTTCGATTCTCGCATAGGTAAAGCGACTAAGTCTAGTCCTGTATGCGTTCGCGGGGCACGCTTCACGTGTGTAACGTGATAATCGATTGCGTGTGTTAGTCTACTAGACGCGCTTATTGATGATTCGACATCAATATCTAGTTCTATATTATTCGCTATTAAACTGTTGTCTAATTCGCGTTCGATTACAACGTTTGCTCCGATTTCTGGTTTAAACAAATTCTTGCTTGAATTTAATGCGTTTAGATTTCTTCGTACGTTATCGCGTATATCCCGGAGTGCTTCTACTGCTACTCTTATAGGGCTTACTGCGCTATTTCTAATGGCTCTATTCGCTGGTTCGCAAAATAGCCACGATTTATTTGCTACGCTTTTTTGTTGCGCGTTTCGGTTTTCCGACATTCACGCGTTTACAAAGTTTTAATTGTTCGACTTACAATAATACGATAAGCAGCATTGTCTCTCGTTCGGTGTCGGCCGTCGGGCGTCGATCGTCGCGTGCTGTTGAGATAGGTCGGTGCGTTTTCTCAGGTTCCGCTTATCGTTGTCGCTTCGATGTACCGGGTGATTCGAAGTTCCTGATGGACTTCCTTTTCCTCGGTTGTAGTTGTCGACCGTTTGACGGAGTTTCCTTTGCTGTCTCTCGTTCTGTCGATTCCACGGAATTTTTCTTCCTCGTGGTTGTGGACCTTTGCCGGTGTCGATCTTGTTAGAGCTGGCGTAACCCACCACTGCCACCAATTAATATATACAATTTTATTTCAGAGTTAGTTATTGTTTATGTTAAGTAAGTTATTGTTTACTTTTTCTACTACTAATCATGTTTTATATTTCTATAAATTAATTTTTTTTGTTATATCTGGTTTTATATTATTATACAAAAATGTATATTAATATCAATATATTTTTAATGCTATTTATTATTCACTGTTCAAGATTGAAACGTTTAATTTAATCGATGAATTTAAACTGTAAATTCAACCGACATATCTGAACGGTAAGAGCCGCAATCAAAACACGAGCGAGAATAAGCATCGTCGCGATCAGCCGATCAGCGCGTGATCGCGTGATCAAAACAAAATTAACAAAATAATGTCAAACAAGGATTGACAATCGTGCTATTTCTCTATCCCGTTGATATGATATACGAAGTATCATCGATATTATATAGTAACGAAGCAACAAGTTACCAAGTCTGACAGGCACCCTTTGTCTTACATCTTGCGTATTTGTTCACTCTGTTACCTATTATTCTACTATTATTATTGATCAACATACAATATTTAATTGCACGTATAATTTTAACTATAATTTAAACATATATATGCACATATGTATATATACAAATATAAAATTCTCAAAAAATAGGCGCCCGTTAGTCTTGTTGCATTACTGCTTTCTGCCACGAGAGGCCAGAAAGCATTGTCGCTCCTTGTCTAGATTTATCTCTCAACGATCGCATCCGTGTGCTCAACGTATCGGTGTTTGTGCCTTCACAGATACTACACACATACGCGATGAAAGAGAGACAAAGACGGCGCGATCATCTCTCTTTGTCAAGCGCTCAGTGTACTACCACTATCGAAAAGATCGAAAAGTGGATGTAGCACGGATATGAACCAAATGACCGACAATATCGAAAAGTGGATGTAGCACGGACATGAACCATATGGAGATTTGACCGACAGTACCGAGAAGTGAATGTGGGTAAGTGTTTCCAATTCCTAAAAGTGGATCCACGGCGCTGCTCTACGGCCTAGAAAAAGCGTCCCACGAAAATCGCCGGCATTGCCTCTCTCAGGCTTCTCTCTGATAATAATTACCACAATAGCAATTATATACGCCAAGAAAAAATATAAGACAAAAAAGAAAAAACTACCAGAAACTAATATAAATCCGATGTGCAAACCGAAAATAATTCAAGAGCACATTTACGGCACCACAAGCGGATCGAATAGAACTGCTGAGATAGAAACCGACACCGCGATAACTAACACTGCGATGCTATATTAAAATAAAGTAACCATAAGAAATAATTGTAAAATGCGAATAATGTATAACGAAAAATATGTAGACGAAAATTCACATATAGTTAATTTTCTTTTTCCAAAGGGGAGAGATGTCGTAACCCGATCAATTCCTCAATATATTAAAAGAAAAAACGATAAAGTAAAACAGAAAACATTAAGAAAGAGCTGAGTAAAGCAAAGCATTAAAATCAGAAAAGAGATCAAGGAAAGATAATTAAGAAAGAGTAAAGTAATAAAAGATTATTAATAAAATAAAAGTAAGATACGTGACTAAAGAGAAGGAAGTCACGGTCAAGTTCTCGGAAGCTGAGTAGGTAGCTGACGAGACAGCTGACGAGCGGAGCACAAGACATGCTCCGGTCAGGGACACCGCACTCCTCCCTAATCAACGACCTAATTAATTAATATATATTGTGCGAGATCGCACTCAATAGTGCGAGATGCACCGACGCTAGCTCAGTAACATAGTTCATTAACATCGCTCGCTCATATCAACAGTATCGATATACCGTACATATCGCGCCCGACTGTTATAATCGCGACTAAGTGAAAGTGTACAAGAATCTGTGAAATATATCAATTTCTACCTAACGTCCGGGAGTGTCTTATTTTGAACGTGGGTCCTAATCCTTTGGGCGTATAAATCCCTAAAGACTTCTTCCTTAGCGGCTAGAGGCACAACACATTTAAGAGAGATAAGAAAAAAGATTGTAAATTTAGGCAATTACAAAGAGTTTTTTCTCGTTTCTCTTGAATATCTTTATATATATTCTCAAAGTTTATCTATTTAAATCTGAAGTATCCTGCATATTAAAAGATTATTATCAACTTTTTGATTTTATATAGAAATGGAAACTATTAAACAATTTTCTGTTATCTAATTAACATTACTATTTTATAAATAATTTACAAGTTTAACAAATTGATAATGATTAAATAATTTAATTCATAAAAGTTAAAATTTTAGCCTTTAGGGCCGGAGCACAGACTTTTGCATAAGCGCATAACCATAAGCATAAGGAAATTGATTGGTCCATAAGCATATGCATAAGGAAATGGACCAACCAATTTCCTTATGCTTATGGTTATGCGTTTATGCCAAAGTCTGTGCTCCGGCCCCTTCTTATATATAATCTTAAATCCCCGATAAGATTATATAAAGGAAAGTTAAGTCATACTATTAATACTATGTATACCAATGAGCAACCCATGATGCATTGCAAAAGGCCGCGAGAGCCAATAACAATCTATCTTATTTAGCATCTCTTTTTTAAATCGATTGCGCACACATCGATTCTTTACATTGCATTATGGGTGGCCCAGGCTTATAACTTAACCTTCTTTTATATAATCTTAAGTGCCGGTCTACAATAGGTGATTTAAGCCCTAAGCCTTAAGAAATTGACCAATCACAATCAAGTATGAGGAGAATACTCGACTGTGATTAGTCAATTTCTTAAGGCTTAGGGCTTAAATCACCTATTGTAGACCAGCACTAATCCCAGATCTAGAGTCTCTCTAACAGAGTCTGGCCATATGATAGCAACTTTTGATTGATCCGCTATTTTTAGCAAGTCCTGCTGATATTTGAATGGAAATGGCAATAACAGTAAATTGTTACAAAGGAAATTAAAAATATACGTGGTAAAAACAATACATACATAAGAATTTTCACTGTACAGGAAACGTGTGAAGAGTCAACAGTTTAAATAAGAAAATAAAAGGAGACAAAAAAAGAAAGAACGAAAATATTACAACAATAGTAATTTATTGTATTAAGACACTTATATTAAGAAAAAACACTGTAGAATATATAATAAACTATGTAACAATATAGAAATATAGAATATGTAATAAGTAATAACAAACAAAACAATTTTATTAGTTTCATAAATAATTGGAAAAGCAAGACATATTAAGGCACATTAGGAAAAGATATTATTATGCATAGCCATGGATTTGCTACCATATCTATATTTACTAAGCATAGTATTTTTTGTCTGATAAACGTATATTTTCTTCTCTCTCGCAGAATTTTGCCAAAACTGTCAAGTTGGCCAGATTCTGTTAGAAATCTCTGTATAATACTTTACAGACAAATTTGATATTTTTTATTTTGGTAAACCTGCATAAAAGGGGACCCCCCTCGAATAACCTTGACCTTGACATATGTTGTCAAAGTCATCGTCCTGAGTGACCTTCAAAAGGTCATAGCCGTCGCTCGTATTT